GAAAATGACTCATGAAACGCAATGTGACATTGCCATTGGGAATATAAAGTCAAAGGTCAATCAGACTTGTTATTGTGAAACATGTCACAATTAGGTTAAAATGCGGAAGCGGATGGAGCGGATCCACGGAACGGATATGGGGATAAACTACAGAACGGATGGGGATAAAATGCGTTCTTTTACTGTCGTTCCAATTGAAGTGTTGCTGAAATATTGAATCAATACATTACCTCGGGCTGACCAATTCATTTGATCAAGTTCCTCGAGATATTCATACACTTCCTGTGAAAGAGCCAATTCCAAGTATTTGATCATTTCTGGTCACTTCCTTTCTATTTATGATTGGTTAGTTGCACAAACAACCAAGGTGATTGGTGCATTCAAACTATTTAACAGGAAGTTTACAATTATACTAGGAAGTGTATGAATATCTCGAGGAACTTGATGAAATGAATTGGTCAGCCCGAGGTAATGTATTGAATGAATATTTCAGCAACACTTCAATTGGAACGACAGTAATGATTAATGATACAACGTCGTAGTGCTTATTATTCATAACATATCTTATACAGCTATTTTTGGGTGATGGGAATAATCATATTAACCCACGGCCTTTCTAGGTTGTCGGCAACCCTATATAGTTCTTGCAGTGTCTTTTTCAATTTGAAACTTCACACTATCCTTGGATCCCTAGTTTAAAGTTTGAAATGAAATGAAATGAAATTGTCTATCTTTTTCTAAAGATATCAAAGAGCTGTTTAAACTGTAAAGAAGCAAATAAATGGAGATATTTTTCTACTTCCTTAATCATATGCATGCAGAGTCTAAATCACGGCACACTTTAGTTTTTGCATCATGAATCATCGTGAAACATAAGCTGTGCTTTTCTTAGAGGTATGTTGACTTCGCAAAAGAACTACAGAAGAAAAATATTCCCATCGAGGGGATTGGAGCGCAAGGTCATTTCACTGGAGTTGTCGATCCATTCGTACTTAAGGTTTGAAAATATGATTATTTTAAATTGCTACTCATGCAGGCGAGGTTCAACATTACCAGAAATATTGGACATTTTGCGGCCGCGTTTTGTCAGCGGATAATCGCTTCATAATTAGATTCAGAAAACAAGACGGCGACTCGATCTTCGGGAAAAGGCTCTGTACCTTACAGTGTTCTTAATAACTTATGTTCGGTGGATATCCTTTTTGACGAAAATTAGAAAAATAACAAGACCGCGGACTTTCGAGATAACCACAGCAAAGGCCAAGGAATCTCCACACAAAACAAAATCCATTCAATAAATCCACATATGTCGCCTTCATACATAACTCAGTGAGGGGAGGTTCAGAATTAAACTTTATTTTCCAATCTTAATTTTCTCTTTTTATAATCTCCCAGAACCTCTGACATCTTTAATATTCACCGCGAATATATTCAGTTGAAATGCCCGCCAAATATATGCACGTAAATTAAAGATTCAAACACGAAAAATTAAAACTTCACACGATCACGCAAATCTCTCTCTTGTTGCGCAGCAAGAGACGGGAAACGATTTTGAATGTAAACAAACTATAATGGTATTTCTTTTTGTTCCGAAAGAGGGTTGAAGATGCAATGTTGACGTCTGTAAAACCTACGAAAATGGGCAATTTTCAAACGATTTTGGAACTAGTTTGCTGTGGAATATTCTACGATTTTTTTAGCTGTTTTAACTGATCAAACCTCAAAAAGATCATCACTAGCTCCGCAGTTAGCATCACACGAACGTATGATGGACCATTCAACGATTTTTGATCTCATGTATGGCCCTAATTACTATATAGATTACACTATATGATGCATCGAATTGGCTGTGAAAACACGTCGATCACGGGAACTACCTAGACGTGGGTAAATGCCTGCGATTTTAGTCTACAAACATGGCTTATTGATGTCCTTACTATTATCGAGCTCCGCAACCGTGAAATATTCGAAAAAAGTAGGTGAAAATTTGATATTTTTATCAACTCCTATTAGGGCAATGTGCGCACGTCCGCGGCCATCTTGTCCAATATTTCTGGTAATGAATCGTATTTACATATACAACTTTAATGCTCTTCGAATTTTCGAACAATATATTGTCTAACTGGGGTCTTTCTATTTGAGAAACATTCCCTAAAAGTATCACGAATTCTCTAGAATCTAATGAGGTATATTCTCTACAATTTCGTAAAGTGTATTAACTACTTTAATTAAGCAACTTGTTGATACAAAACCATGTTTTGGTTCATATCCCAAATCCAAATTCATTTACTTGCATGAAGGATCGTTTGGACACACTAAAGGAAATCAACTTACCAATATGGTTGACTGAAGTTGATATAGTTGAGAAAGATCCTCACAAGCGCGCCATTAGTTTGGAAAATGTCATGCGTGTTGGATTCAGCCACCCAAGTGTACACGGTATCATATTGTGGTGTTTCTGGAACCTGAAGTGCTGGAGAGGACCCTATACTGGTTTAGTGGATGGAGACAATTTTACGGTAATTATAAGTGGAGATTGCGGGTCGCTTTAGTGAACTCGCCCAAGTGGGTTTTATAATGCTAACAAATGCCGTTTTCCATTACGATAGGTTTGTCAGCTCTATATATATAAACGAGTGACCATTTCCATACATGTCCAATACTGTCGAATCTACTCCATCCGTACGGATGGAGAGATTTGTAACTTGAGCTTTATTCCACAATGGTACGGTGGCATAGGGGAAATGATTTGTCCGATGGTTCGATTCAACCGATTGCATGGACCATCCGTCACATTGCAATCGTTTGACTCGTACCCAAACCCAAATTGCTGATATCACTTTTCCCCGATTGTGATAATCTGTTTATCATACTTGTGCCTTTATCAGGGTCTGATTATTTTTAAAATAATCATTGGCGCAACAACAATATAAAAAACATAAACAAAGAATAGATTAACTTATCTTTGTGTTACTTTAAGTCGTTTTCTGTTTTTCGCTTTGTGTTATAATTTTTTTCTTCGATAAAGCAGTCAACACCGACTATAAACACGAACCTTGAGTTAGCCATCTTTGTTTTGACAGCGGCAAATATAGTGGCACAAAAAGCTATGTCAGTGACAAAAAAGATATCAGTGACGACAACGTTTTTATGTCACCCCTGTTATCGCTCTGATAAAGGCGCAAGTGTGTACATGTAATAAATTATGTTATATGCTTCGTTTTCAAATACACCACACCAACTATCAATATATCATGTTATATGCCTCGTTCTTAAATAAAATCATGCAAACTAGCAATATATATGTAGTATGCCTCGTTCTTGAATAAACCAAACGGGACAGGGACAGGCTAATAAAGCTCTATATATTATTTCGCAATTTTCCATCAATTTAAATTAATGGTATATTTTTAATACAAAACTAACTTCATGTTTTCCTAATGACATGATATTTATAGTTTTAAACACAGAATTCGCCTTCATCACATTATATCTCACATTCTCTTAATTAAGAGTTGTAAACAATGCTAAAGGAAGCAATATGACAGGTTGTAAATCATTTTTGCGCTATATAGTCATACATACACATTGGACATAACGACACTGCTATATAGTTCTATCCGCACTTTCTTTGCTGAAACAGTGAAACTACTCAAAGAAAATCCCGAGAATGGCAAACCGATTGAACATTTTGGACAAAGTTTTGACATCATGATTCGTCCGATGAATCCGATCCGAAATCGGCCATGTTGAATTATTCGTTACTAGTAAAGTAGTATACCCACGCCCCAATCAACGCGCTTGCGCACGGATCGGACGAATCTTTTCAATCTAATTTTGTCCTACCACTAGACTAAGGTTGATTCACCAATCTTTCTATCAGATAATTCCAATAGTCTACCGTAGCCTATTGTAGCCTACCATAGACCTATCACTGGATTAAGGTTGATTCATCGGACTCAAATGGAACTTGACGCCATGGACTAGGTCTGATCTACAACCCCCTATAAATTAATACTCCTCACTATGACCTCACAAAAATCACGAAGCGTACCAATGGAATAGATTCGTCAGTATTGGACAACCCTCACAGTTTCAAGTCACCTGTTCAATTAGTCACGTGTTGAACTACATTCAACTATCGTTTCAATATCGTACCCAGAGCATGCCTGTTCGCAGGTTGGGGTTGGGCATGGCTCTGGAGAAGTCGAATTTATTCACGTTGCATTTGCAACGTGAGTTGTACGCATGCTCTTGCTTAATTCGCAACTCTAATTCATTTATTTCAACAAAGTATTAGAATTTCACGTTCAGGATTTGATACTTTTTGCACTGAAATCAACTGAAAACATCTAAAAATTCTGGGATAAATATATACCAAACTGAGCTGCGGATTGATACAACTATCTGAAAAAAATGAGGAGAACTTCGACGTTTCGAGCGAAGCTTCGCCCTTCGACTTATACTGTTAGTGTTTGCTTGTATACATCGTACATTTTATACTGTGACATTACTGTCGTCTGTTGGTATTCATAATATACATATAATCTCCTGGTGTAATTTGGTATTTTTTTGCTATTTTCCATCCATATTAAACACTAAGATCAGCAATCTTATATTATAAATCATTCATGTACATATTATTGAAATGCGCCAATAATTGATTTCCATGTCAATTAAATCTCGATTATTTAAAAGTACAACATCAACGGCAATATAAAACTAACATATATCTATAAATTAACAACTAAAACATATATCTATAAGCACAGCACCCTAAATAAGTCGTAGGTAATGAAAAATATAATAGTATATATTTTGAAATCTGCTGTGCTGGTGTAATGTACTCAGGTGAATAAGATATTTTGTGTGATGTTACTCTGAGTGTATATCCATACCGGGCAGGCTTGAAAAACATGCCCGGCCACGGCGGGATTCGAACCTACGACCTTTGGAATACCAGCCCAATGCTCCTCCAACTGAGCTACGCGGTCAGGACGGTTCGAGTATGCGATATTTCGGAACTGAGTCTAGTTCCTTCGATATCAGTGTAATCTAATAATCATGAAATCTGCTGTCAGCTGGTGTAATGTACTCAGGTGAATAAGATATTTTGTGTGATGTTACTCTGAGTGTATATCCACAACGGGCAGGCTTGAAAAACATGCCCGGCCACGGCGGGATTCGAACCCACGACCTTTGGAATACCAGCCCAATGCTCCTCCAACTGAGTACATATTTTATTTAGAAGCAAACATGTCAACGTATTATTTGTCGTGAATAATTTCAAATTGTTACTTTCGTCAATAAATTAGCCACATTCTGCAGAGTCATTTTGGCCACTCCGTGCCTTACTGTACTTGTAACCGGTTCATGACTCAATACAATTTCTATTATCAGTATGTTTACTGTATACAAAGAAATCATCCTCTGTTTTATTTATCTGCATTGCTCAGTGAGTCGTCGTGTATATCCACGCGGAAAGTCAGGATGCTGGCGTCAACCAATGAAACTCATTATCTCATTCGATTTCTCCAGGGCCATGCCCGACCATAACCTGCGAACGGCATGCTCTGGGTACGAGAGCGTGGACGCGAGGGCCGAAAAGGTCAAGGCGGACAGCTACAGTGCATGTCCAAAAGTGTCCGCTCGCAGTGCGACCGTATAAAGACCATTTTCAATGCACTAGGCGAATTTGTTCGTGCGGAGTGAAAAACAAATCTTAGCAATGTAGTTGGTCAGTGAAATAATTCACCGCGAAAAAGTTGGATCAGTTGCTACATTTTTACTGTTCGCACGAACAAATTAGCCGAGTGAAAATTGGGCTTAATTTAATGGTATTCGAAAACAGCATTAACGAGACTACTCTATGTTGTCTTCAAGAGATATAATCTTGAACGATCTCTGCAAGCGAATGTAGTGCCAGTAATAACAAAACATTCGTTGGTAGGAGTGCATGCAACTACCTGAAAATAACAAGGATAAATTCCTTTATTAAGGTAATTCCGCAGTTTTGCATTGCGCACTTTTACTGCGCACATCTGAAAACTTATAATTTCATCGATTATACGTACCGTTTAAAAAAATATCATTTTATGACAATTTTATGTTACTTCAAAACATCTTTGGTTACATTCGTGCAAAGAATTACGTTAAAATCAATGTTTTGAAAAGAGGCATACAAAAGTGTAGGTAGGGTTCCTGTGTTTGTAGTATATTTATTTACTTGTATTTCACGTTTTGATGCCACAATCATAGGCGTACCGGGCGGGGAGGCGGGGGGGGGCGGTAGCCCCCCCCCCCAGTTTGTTGGGCAGTCGGGCAATATTCGATCAACAGTCGGGCAATTTTGGTTTGTTATAAAAATAAATGGGACAAATTATGTAAGTTTTGTCGGAAATTAAGTCAAATTTGTGTGATGTTCCGAAAAATTTTGGTATGTCCGGAAAATTTTTTGACCCCTAAAATGGTACACTGCCCAAAAATTTTTTTGGCGACCTCCCCGTCCCCCGTCGCCAAAAAAAATTTTCCGGAAAAAATTTTTTCGCTACCAGTCGGGCACAATCCCGAAAAGTCGGGCAAATTTCTTTCCGCCCCCCTAATTTTTTCCTTCCGGTACGCCATGGCCACAATTCCCTAAAAAGATCGGTGACCCCCGTTTTTTAACTGATAATTTATTTCTTTAATACATTTTACATTTTATATCCGAAATTAAAAGAAAAATCATTTCTGGATCTTGAAAAAAAAGCTTTTTCAATGCATGTTCTCAAAGAAAGATATGTAAAGAAATGTGGAAAAGACATTTGTGGATCAGAATCGTACACGTTAGTAGTTTCATTTTGCTCAAAACACAATATTTTTTCAAAAACAATTACAAGATAAGTTTACTAAAGGAAAATCCGCGCTAAAAACGTCAATAAATATCAGGCTGTTGTGAGTTTGCTGTTACTCGTAATGAGCGTCAAGATGGTGCCATATTGGGGTAAAGGTTGTATATTGTGATTGTCATATCTTCTTAACAAGTTCGGTGACCCCGACTTTTTTGTGTGATTTTACTTTAAGTATATCATAAACTCCATGCCTGGGAAGTTTCAGCACATTCTCATTTTGGGAACAATTACTGCGGAATTACCTTAAGTTATTAAGTTATTCCTTTATAACTTCCAGCGACGAAGGGCCTTAGTCCCCCAAAACGTCGAATTTCACCTTGTATTTTTCAGGTATAGTTGCATCCCTATACCAACGGAAGTTTTTTTTCCAAGAGAACATACAATGCATCTCAATTACGAAAACGAACCTCTGTAGTCAAGGCAAGAACATTCCAAAAGGCTTCATTTAGTTTATGGTGAATAATTCCATACGCGACGTGTTATTCGATTATATGCATAAGCTATATACCGAATAAGAATCGTAAATACAGCTATTTCAATTAAGGTTGTCCCCGAGCAAAGCGGAAAAGTTGAATACGAGCGCGAAAGGCTGCTTGGAATCGTTATGAAAATTCATTAATTTTTTAGGGATTCCCAGCAGCCTTTCGCGCTCGTATTCGACTTTTCCGCTTTGCTTGTGGACAACCTTAATTGAAATAGCTGTAAATAAATTATATACATACGACCAATCGTATCATGAAGAAAGGCTTATAATATTTGTTTGTTATTCCAGCTAACAGAAGCTGGTCGTGTATATCAGGATCTTCGTCGACAGTGGACTACAAGCGAAGTATTGACAGCATCAGAAGTGTTTAAGCACGAAGAAGTTTTCAAATTTCGGGGTTTTCATGGTGATTATGACATGTTTATACATTTATCCGATGGAAAAACTATCAAAAAATCATTCGAGGTAAAACCAGGAAACAGGGAATTGATTGTAAAAGTCAACATAGAATATAATTAATGATTAATTAATATATAGCAAACAATTATCGTAGTTGATGTAACGGACAGAAAAGTACCATGGCTGAACGGCGCATAGGCGTACCGGGCGGGGGGGCAGTCGGGCAATATTCGATCAACAGTCGGGCAATTTCGGTTTGCAATAAAAAAAATGGGACAAATTCTGTAAGTTTTCTCTAAAATTAAGTAAATTTTTTGGCAAATTGTGTTATTTTTCGAAAATTTGTGTTATGTTGCGAAAAATATTGGTTGTCCGGAAAAATTTTTTGACCCCTAAAATGGTACACTGACCGAAATTTTTTTGTACTAGTCTGGCAGAATCCCGAAAAGTCGGGCAATTTTCTTTCCGCCCCCCTAATTTTTTCCTTCCGGTACGCCCATGGAACGTTTCTTCAGTGTTTTGTAAAATAAATAAATTAAGGGGCGGATACAGACTGTACCTGGTCATTACATCGAACTTGTTCATGCCATAGGAATTAGTTCGAACAAAACATATGCGTATTGCTTGTGTTTCACTCTCTGTGTTCTTTCACATTCTTAATTGTGAAAGAATTTAAAGTAGTCGGATTCTCATTTAATACTAAATCCAAAAACTTTTAAGGAACGTTTGCGCATAGCGATTGGTCGGACCGATTTGGCTCAGGCTGGATTCAGTTTTATTTAAATGATATTAAAATACGCTGTCAACGTCATCTGACGACATTGTCAACCACAGAGTGGATACATGCAGAGTTGTAACTGGCCGTCGTAAGCGCTGCGGAAACTTACGTTTTCATGTACCCACTTTTTTCAGGCAACCGGATAAAAAAAAAATTATCAACTGCGCGTTCTCGGCAAGTTCAGCGAGCGGTAAAAGCGAACCGCCATCCAATGGGATGCATGCATGCATCTTGTAACTTGCCGAACACGCGCACAAAAAGGTGGGTACACTAGTTGTAGTTCTGTATATCTGTCTACTCTGTGTTGTCAACTGATATAACTTTTGTCATTTTAACATTCGGCAATACCTGAAATCGGCCAACCGATCGTTTGTGTGTAAACGTACTGTTGTGCGGTTTTACGAATTAGTTGGTGCTCAAGTAATTGGCATATGTTTTTTCATAGCTATTATTAAATTAATGTAAATATTTAAGAAATCTTTACAGATTGTAACAGGGAGTGCTTCGCATGGGACTTTGAGTCCCGTTCGCACTCTAATGCTTGGACATGGTCCAATAAATTGATTTAAATAAATAAATAAATATCCATCTTCATTTATATCAGACCATATTTAACTTTGGTGGACTAAGCTAAGTGCTTTTGCAACGAAATTTTTTATATCATTTTTTATGGTTGAATTGTAGAGAAAATTCGAAAGGACTATAGTAAAATACAAGATAGTTTGACAATGATTGACGATTACTCAGAGTGGAATGATAACCCTGTCGGACACATGAATTTCTCGTCCTCATTAGACACCGATGACTTCTTGGATGGGTTCTCGGGCAGAGGGTTCTCAGGCATGCATAATTTGAATCCTGCGCCGGCACCAACTTTGAATTCCAATGAAATCAGTGATATGATTGGAATTGATCCACAAGCTATGCAAGTTGGCGTTAAAATATTCTACCATATGACTTGGCTTGTTTCTTTCTTGATATATTCAAGAATGATCGATGCGCAAATTCTCCTTACTATGACGTGAAATTTCATAAAGGCTTCGTGAAATTTAAATTATAGATATATAACTGATTTGAATCTGTCGACATAAAGTATATATTTGCAGCATGTTGACCTAACACATACGCACGGTTTTACGATTCCGATGCACGAGATAGCAAGATCTTGCAATTTTTTGTGTTTTTTTTTGTGGTGGTGTGGGGGGGGGGAGTTGTTATGTAATGTGACGTCATAATGAGGAAATTTGCATATCAAACATAAGCCGGTTTTCCACTATTAAGAAAAGCAATTTCGTGGCACCCTCCTGGGGAATAGATTTTCTGTGGTTCAATGCATGCTACAGTAGTTGCTGAATTGCCACAAGAAGTTGCCAAGCAAAAAACTTGCCCTATACCGAGAAAATTTGCGAACTGTGATTATCCTCTATTAATTGGGGTGGCAAATGGCTGCATCCCAAAACCTAACAATTACAGACAACAATGAACGAGATAATTCATTGTTATGGTCATAATATAGATGCAAAACGGTGAACAGTTTCTAAATGATAAACAGTTTTCAATTTCCAGATGATCTTTTAAGGGAGAAAGTACTATTCAAAAGTGATTGTGCCAATCAATGTACTACTTCAGCGATAAACAAACGTTATATGGTATTGAGAGCCAATGTAATTTTATATATCTTACATGTATTATTATGCAATCTCTTATACTGTTATGTATAGATGTGATTCTCACAATGTAGTATAGATTAGGTTGATTTGTAGAACTTCTGAGTTGTTTCGTGAGTTGTAGCTAGTCATTAATTATTGTATTAAATGTGAAATTTTGTATTCAATTGCAACAAAAAATGAGTTGCATCATCAGAAAGCTTACCAAAATTTACCTACAAGACATTAAAACAGTTATTTATATTCTAAATTGCTTTCGAGTCATACGCTGTCAAAAACACGTTTTTGAACTAGTACCCAGTCCTTATTTGGACATTTTTGTTCAATTTTCACATTTAAAACAGCACTGAATAACTCAAAGACTATTTGAAGAATAAAAAACTGTTTAAAAGTCTTATATACGTTTTCCGATGATGCAAATCATTTTTACTATAATTGAATACAAATTTTTTTTATTGTGATACAATTTAATTGGGCAAGTTTTTGCTTGGGAACTTTTTTTGGTAGTAATGTACCCATATGCCTTTTCTAAATAATTCCACCCGAAAAATCAAAGACAAAGAAAATTCCGTGTAGCGGAAAACCGTCTTAGGACCTTTTCATATGGGCAAGTGTTATCCCGGTTAATTTAACGAGAAAACTTTTCGACTAGCCAAATGTTTTGTTCTGTTCATATGGAGAAACTTTATCACGTTTACCGGGTAAAGTTTTCGGCTGTGACGTAGCACTGAACATCAATTGAATTGAAAAGTTGCTGACATGACCGAAAGTTATCCCGCTAAGCAGGAAAGTTGTGTTCATATGGGAAAAACATCAGTCCAAGTCACCGAGATCTCGCCTGCCAACAAGCGAGATCTCGGTACACGGGGAAACGTTTTGTCTCATATGAACGCAGTGTAACTTTTCATAATATTTTCATACCAAGGCGAGATCTCGCTTGTAAACTTGTCGAAAAGTTTTCTCGCTAACCGGGATAACTTTTGCCCATATGAACAGGCCCTTAAGATAGTTTGGGAAAGTGACTTATTCTGCCAATTTGAATTTTCTTTACAACGCATGCGCAATTATAAAAAGTGGTGAAAAATTTCGCTGCATGAGCACTTTAAATTTAGTTTGAGAAATAAGAATATTTAGGGCACGAATATATATCGAGATAAGTTCTAGACAATATGGAACACTTCAAATTCTGATGGGTTGAAAGTTGTAGGTTCCTGCCAAGATGGTGTTTGTGTCCCTGACACCAGATGGAGCTTGGTACTGAGTTGTGATTAAAACGTGAGTATGAAGCGGTATTCGAAGCAGCATCATCAGATATGTGTATATCATTACCTGTTCCAAAGGTTGGTCCTAAACGATTGTCTGTGAAAATTGCGTTATTTTGATCTTTCAGTGGGGATTTAAAAGGCGGCAGATTTTCTTTGTTACGAAGAGAAAATATGAAGGATCTAGGAGCTTGTTTCCAGCCACTACCTGTTATAACGAAAAATAATGTTGTAACGTATTTAATCAGATTTGTATTGAGTATCGGGACATTAGTGTCGCAGCCGCGGAGGAATTTGAAAGATTTCACTTGTTCATGCACATGTTAATTGCACTTAAGCCTGCTGCACACGATAGAATTTGGCTGAGCTAGCCTTCACGCGTGCCAGCTAGCTCATTTCTATATGTTTGTCGCAATCATAAAGTAAAGTGCTAAGCTAATATTTTATTTCGCTTTCAGTTCCAAAATGGCCGCAAATATCACGTACCGGTACCACGTAAGAAAAATATGTGCTTTTAGTATAAATTTTGCATATCAAATGAGCTTTCGCGCGTTCTGATTGGCTAGTTCACTAGTAAATCTGACGCATTATTTACTAGCAGACTAGTAAATAATGCTTTTCAAAAAGAATGAATCTGCAAATTTGGTTTCAAAATCGACAAAATTTTGAAAAAATCGTCCCAGAAAAAGGAAAAAAGCACAAAATGTTGTATTTAGGGTAGGATTTCTTTATTATTTTACTGTGTCAAACATATTCACGGACAATTTAAAACTTATTTAAAACTCCGAAACATTCGCTTCAAACAAATAGCAAAAACTATCCCGACTATTGGGAAAAGCCGTGATATTCTTTTTAAAACAATTTTGTTTTGTATCCTCTACTAAATATCTCAATTTGTACGATACTATTTCTTTTGATATATGTCGTGTTTTCATTGTGCTGTATGGTGTCTTGACGCTGTATTGTACTATTGTGTTTTTGAGACTTGTAAAGTGAAAAGTGAATTAAAACTTTTATATTTCGAACGATATAGTTTTACATTTAATTTTACCAAATTTCTCAGCCATTTCCTGAACAAATTAATGTTAAACAGAAACTATTTTTTAATTCTAATTCTGGTGAAAAAGTCATTCCATCATTGTGTTTATATTCTAAGCAGAAATCGAGAAAAACGACTTTGTAATACTAAAGTAATACTGAAGTCGCACAGGAAACCATTTTGAAAGCGTGCGAAACCTGACTACAACACTAAAACTGACAGTAACCGTAAACCGGTCGAAAACAGTTTTGTTTCTGAATTTTAATTAAAATAATAGTTGGATAACTTGGATACTTTGTTTTATTCATTAAAAATTTATACTAAAACAATTATTCGCCTCAGGCTCAGTGATTACGGTAAATATTCACCTCGACTTCGTCTCGGTGAATATTCACCGGTAATCACTTCGCCTTCGGCGAATAATTGTTAATTATTGGCTA